TCCTGACAAATTAGAACTACTCACAATAAAAGTTCCTACACTATTTGGAATGTTTTCATTAACAAACTAACAGACCAAGGGCCTGAGTCACAAAAGTGTAGCACAAACACTATGTTGGCTTGTGTCAGTGCAAACAGAGGTACTGAAATTGTCAGGTGGATTAGGCAGACAATTTCTGGTTGTCTAAAGACATTCTTTGGCCTGCTGCATTAAAAATACTCCGAATCTAATATGTCTGCAAAAGTTCTCTTCTACATTTGTCTGTGGAAAAAAGAATTACAAAAAACTGCATGTATGGAATGTATTTGGGTCAAGATAAAACTTGTTGAATATTAGCATTGAAATGGGATTTCTTTTTCCAAATTAACTAGCATGTAATAAAAAGAAGAATGTTTCTTCTATGGTATGCAGATGTACAGTTTCAACATGAAATACTGTATATCACATATACAAGCTTATATTTGAATGCAAATGTCTCTGTTCCTACTCCACTGTCTTCTCTTAATTTCTCATCCTCTTTTCCCATGTAACCTGACTAATCTGGTTCATCAATTTACTCTTTTACCTGAAATCCAACCAAAACATCATAAAAGCAGTATGCAAGCTTTTAGTTTATTTAGGGCTCATCACAAAGTTTATTTAGGGCTCATAACAAAGCAAGCAGGTTGAGTTTGTACATTGCTTCATGACTTTTTTGTTTGTCCAACTGAATAGTGCCAGAGTGAAGACTTTACTTATGGTTGGTGACAATTTCCTTTCCTTTGTAAATTTCATATTAAATCAATAGATTTCTACCCAGGTTGCTAGGAAGGTATCCTGTGGAACTCAACAAGAGTTAAATGTCTATGGAGATTCTCAGTCATCCAGGTCATGGTTGGTCCAAAGGTGCCTTTTCAAGAGGTAACTGGACTTTCCGGTTTTTCTTTGAAGACATTTCGCTTCTGATCCAAGAAGCTCTGACTGGATGGTAGAGAATGGAAGGGTTTATACTCCTTGAAAACAGCTGGTCATTTGCGTTCTTTTAGCAGGTCATTAAGGTCACCTGGAGGTTTAAAATCACCTGCATTTAAAAGACACAGGCCACCCTTTTGAAAACAGCAAAGTCCACATTTTGGACAGAGAGGGTCGCTGGTTTGAAAGCGGGGTTAAAGAGGCCACCTGTGTCAAAATTGAACAGCCCTTTCTCAACAGAGGGGGAGCTTGTAGATGTTTGTAGAAATCTACAATCTACAACACAGTCTTTTCAACAGTTCCAAGAAGGCTCCACATCTATTTGTACCACTCAGGAGACCCTGATGACACAGATAAACCTCCAGGTGACCTTAACAACACACTAAAAGAATGCAAATGGTCTGCAAGGAGTATAAATCCTTCCATTTCCCCACCATCTGGTCAGAGCTGAAGAAGCTTCTTGGATGAGAAGTGAAACAACTTCAAAGAAAAATGAGAAAGTCCAGTTGTCTCTAGAAAAAGCACCTTTGGGTCAACAACGGTTACTTCCACAAAGGTATGTAACCAACTGACCCTCCCATAAGATACCTTATACAGCATAGGTATTGAGATGGATGTAAAACCCTGGAAAATTGTATCAACCCAGCTCCCTTCCTGCCTCAGAGCCAGCAGAAACCACTCTGCCCTAGGCTTTGCTGTTTTTATAGCAAGTCCTTACTATGCAACCAGAAGGTTCTGTGCTGTGCTCTTTCTTCTCTGCACAGCTTGAATGCACAACACTCAAAGGGAGATGCTCGTTGTTCTCTCAGCTGAAGTTCCAGCCCTGTCAAACAATGTGAAAATCCTCCTCTAATTGACATGCACAATCATTACTAATGCACATACACATGTTTTCTTTCCCACATTAATGCTGTGTTTTTTCCAATCTTTAAATATATAAATCAGCCGCTTGCCTATTTATTATATTGACCAATAGATGGCAGCGAGCACGTGGGATTTTATATCTCTTGGCTGCTGTCTAGTGGTTGTCTGGATTTGGACCATCATTTGGATTAAGTACCATTGAATAACTGGAGTTTCAGTAAACATCGTAAGTGATGTAAATTACCCAAAAACATTATGTGAAAAGAAGAAATGAGGAACTGGGGATCCTGGGGACAGTAGCTATTGGGAAAGACATTCCCAGCCAAGCAAGCTTTAGAGCAGGGGTGTCAAACTCATGTCATCATGGCCGTGTCATGTGATGTATTGGAACTTTTGCCCCCCAACTTCACTAAATCGGGCATGGGCGTAGCCAGCATGTGATGCATCTGGCCCGCAGGCCAGGAGTTTGACAGCCCTGCTTTAGAGGAACAAGAGATGAGTTATTTTTTTAAGACTTCCAATTATATGCCTTAAGCCAAGGACATCCTAATCAATTTCATATTCTCTTGGGTAACCAGACAACCAACTGGTTTTAGAAGGGGGGGGGAGAGGGCAAGTGGCTGTGGTAGCCAGGGTTGTGATCTCCCTCACAGCTGAGGGATAGAAATACAGGTCAGGCATCAGATGGAAGGGATGGTCTCACGGGAAACTAGAAGACTCAATTGCAACACAGATCATGTCACTTCAGCACATTCTACCATGCTAGCATACAGCTTCTGAAGTGTGAGAACAGAGAGGAAGAAAACACTTCCCAAGAGGAGCACCCAAGACCTTCCCAGGTTGCCTCAGCCATATGGCTAGACAATGCTTTACAGGTGATAGCCCACAGAAATGGGTAAGGTTGCTGTGTAGATCTGTCCAGGGCTTGGGAATTTGTGGCATGGGTTCTTTTGGATTAATTGCTATGAAATACAATTGTGAGAACCTGTTCTCTATCCTGTGATGCGATTTATAAAATGATTTTGGTTCATATACGCAAAAACATCAGTCCTGCTTATACTGCAAACCACACACCATATTCAGCATTTGCATATATGTAAAAATCTGGGGTTCTTAATTGCTCCAAGGAGATATCTAGGTTGCAAAATATCTTACTTTATTGTTTGCATTTTGTTGTCAGACTCTTATCCCGGCACTGATGATCGCAAAAAGTGCTTTTTCAAGAGGCAATTGGACTTCCTGGTTTTTCTTCGAAGGCGTTTCGCTTCTCATCCAAGAAGCGAAACGCCTTCAAAGAAAAACCAGGACGTCCAGTTGCCTCTTGAAAAAGCACCTTTGGGACAATCACGATCTGGATGACTGAGAATCTCCATAGATATTCAGCACTGATGACGTTGCCTAGTTTGGGTAATGAAATTTCTGCAAGAAAACAAGCAAACTCAGAGAGCACCAAGGACCCTTCATTTCAACCCCGAGGTACAAATATTCTCCTTTATTCTTATCCTATCTTTCTTTAGTGCTTCTCAATAGCATAAACTTTAAACTGCCTGGACCTCAACTCCCAGAATTTACCAGCTTAGCATCCTGGCAGGAAAATTCTGGGAGTTGATGTCACACATCTTAAAATTGCTGAGGTTGAGAGCTTCACTCAGAACATTTGAGACCCTCCCTTTTTTTTTTTAACAGCAGCAGTCCTGTGAGATAGGTTGAGTCAAAGGTCTAAAGTCACTTAGTGAGCTTCCATAACTGGTTGGAAGGAGGTTAAAACCCAAGTTTTTCTAGTCCACAGCAACTTCCATCTATCCATCAATTCCTCCACTTCAAAACTGAGTCAAAGAGTTCAGTATTAGTTCTCTATGCATAGGTCTCCCATAAGCTCTAGATCCATGTCACTTAGTGAATTTGTAATATTTACTGGAATTTTAAAGTGCTTTAAAGTGAATTTGTATAACAGTAGACTTCTGGTATTACAAAAGCCTCTTTCATTCAGCATAATGTAATAAACAATGTTTTAGTGCAGGTTTAATAGCCCAGGAGTTTTTATTCTTCCCCAAATACATGCTTATTTCATTATTTGTGAATAGGTCACCTCTCACAGTTCGTTATCCAGCACAATCTAAGTAAAATATTCCCTCGAATTAAGTTTGTTGGAGCCACACCAAGCAGGCATATCTTTGTTAACATATGAAACTGTTGTAAGCCCGTTCAGGTAACTTAGAACTCCTTCATCCCACCGGAGGCAACTTTCCAGATCTTTCCTGGCCTTGGTGGTGGAGACACAAGGATTAAAGGAGAGCCTTCTTGAGAATCCATTTTTCATTGAACACAGGCTTTCTCTTTTTCACATGCAGCTGTTCCAGCAGAATACATGCAACGCTGAAAATAATGGGGTACTCGCACAAAGCAGCTCCTCCGGATCTAGCTCTTACCTTGAAAACCTATTCCCTCCAAGTTGATCCCCCAAAGTTGATGGGTCCCTATCCCCCACTAATTGCATGTCTACCTATGGGAGCCTAGCTTCACCTTAGTCACTCCAGGAAATCTTTCAATCGGCCACACCAAGTTGCCCATCAAGCGGGGGTGGGAGGCTAACGAAGGCCCTGCTTCCCTCCGTACATCTACAGGTAAGGCCTTCCCGAACCTACGAGCCCCGCCCCTTACCTGTCAGCTCCCCGAGACCACGCCCACGGGCTCGCCCTGGACCTTGTGCACGTGCGTATGATTTACTTCGTTCGTATTTGTGAAACGGGGAGGAGGAGGGGGAGGAGGAGGGGAGGGAAAGGAGGGTCGACCACCATGAGCCCGACCCCTCCGCGATATCCGAGCTCGCCGCTAGCTCGAGGCGGGCTCCCCCAACCTCATTTCGTTGTGTGTGTGTATGTGTGTGTGTGTTTGTTTGTTTGCTTCCTCACACAAGTTCCCAAGCCGCTTCCCAAAGTAGCCGGACCTCGCGAGCCAAAGGCTTGCCCGGGCGGAAACTTCGAACCGGCGGCAAACAGCAGCCGCCTCACGGCGTTCACGGCAGCTAACGCGCCGAGAAACTTGCCGCCGTCTTACCTCCACCCGAAACCCGCCCATCCGCCCCGCCGCCCATCCTCCTCATCCTCCCTGTCACCCGCGAACCCCACCCATTCCTCGACGACCGCGCCGGCTTCCCCTCCCCCCCCCTTTTTTTTCTTTTTTACCTGCAGGAGACCGTGATCTCCACTTTGGTGGCCGGGATGCTGCCCGTGAGGGGGTCGAAGTCCTGCACCGACGCCATGTCCTCGAGTTTGTCCAGAACGTCCTCCTCCATGGGAGAGAGCGAGCGAGAGAGCACGGGAGAGCGGCGCCCCTCAACAAGTCGCCGAGCGCGCCGGCTAGCCGGAGAGACCAAGCTGCCACTGAACCCTAAGCGTAGCCCCGGCTCAGCCAGCGGGCGGGCGGGCGGCCGAGCAGGCGCGCTCTCCCCCCGTGGCTCCCTTCGACGGTACGTGTTTCTTCGCTCAAGCGCCGCGGTGACCCACGCACCAGCCGGGCGTGAAGCGCTGGCCGTCGCGGCGAGAAGCCGAGCTTGGAGGTGGAGCGCGCTTTCTCTCTCTCTCTCGCCACACGCGCCGCGGTTTCAGAAATGGGGGGTGGGGGCAAAAAAAGGAGAATTTCTTTCCCCTCAAGTCCACGGAGGGAGATTTCAGTGAAGCTCCACCTCCTTCAGAATCAAAACGGCCGGCGGGCCGCCTCAGCCCAGCTTTGCTCCAACGGCAAACGGGGGAAGCCCACCCCACTCCCCCCTCCTCACCCAGCGCGCCCCCGAGCGCGCGCCGGCCCGATCTCCCCCACCCACCCCCGCGAGGAACCTGTTTCCCCGCCGCTCGCCCTTTCTGCGCCGGTGCCCGGGGGAGCGTCAGCCTCGGAGGGCTGGAAGGCACCTTCGCAACCGGCAGGGGAAGCCGCTGAAGCGCGCGGGGATTTGGATCCGCGCTTCTCCCGGGGGTGGGACGGGGGAACGGAGAGCGAAGGCTCTTTTGTCTCTGGGGGCAGGTGCCTGTGGCGTGGCGTGACGTCCGGCTTGAAGGAATTGCAACCTTCTCCAAACCGGGAGCCGGGAGTCAAAGTCTTAGGCAGCGGGAGGGCACCGGATCGAAGGAAGCTCCCCCCACCCCCCCCAGCCTTTGAAAGTATGCGAACTGGCTATAAGTGCCGTAGATGCGATTTGAAAGAGACCTGGAATCGGAGCCTGGGCTGCGGCCAGGGAAGAAAAGAGGAATGAGTATGGCGATCGTGAGAAGAAATGCATTCCGTATATATGTATGTTCTTATGACAGCCACACACACACAGAGAGAACACACAACACATAAGACACACCTCAAACATGAACTGGCCTAAGCAGTCCTGGGCAAGGCATGTTATAGGATATAATAATCAGCTTTCTCCGGTGTGAAGGCTTTGGGAAGGTAGGATAGTGCAGAGATAAATCATAATACAAGGCCATTGTGGAGAGCAGGAGGCACATAAACTCCACAATAGGCTAGAGTGGTTGTATGTGCCTCCAGGGTATGTGGATGTTTTGTTTTCCTTTTTCTTGTTAAACACCTTAAAACAAGTAATTATAGTTTCCAACCGCCTGGCTACACTATGCAAGGAAGGTAATAAACCATCACAGCTACCCAGCACCATCCAGACTAAATGACTGTCGGAAAGCAAGAAAGAAATGTAATATGCAAGAGAAACATCAAGAAAGTGAGTCAGGACACAGACCATACATCAGTTCATTTGCACATTTCATGATGAATATGCATGTAGAAAATTGTTTAGAAGCATTTGCCCATTTTGAAGATGCCAAAACACACACAGAGAGAGAGCGAGAGATGCCCAAGGCCAGGGGTAGATCTCAGCCACAAAACCTAGCAGCCTTCAAATCAGTGTGTGAAGCTCAATCCCACTTCCCTTCTACTGTACATACACCCTGGTCTTTATGGGACTCAGTTGGTAGATCCTAGCTGTGCCTAGCAGAAGCCACAAGGGGCAGATTTCCCAACACTTGGGCCAATGATTACTTGTATGCCTGGAATATGGATGAGCATGAATTCAGGTTATATATAAGCGTGAGCTGGAGAAATTAGGAATATGTAAAAGAGAGTGACATCATCCCCCAAAGTGTCTAATGTGGGTTTTTTTTTAATGGATTGAAAAGAGTTGTTTAAAAGTTGTTTTGCTTTTCTTGGTGAGGGGGATTGTTGATTTTTATTATTTTTTTATGTTCTTATCACTGCTGTGAGCCACCGGGAGTTATGGCCCATAAAATAGACAGCTATATAAGTCTCATAAATAAATAATATTACTCCTTTTTGTTGCCCAGGAATAAGATAACAATATAAATGGCAAGCATGCAAGCAGAATTTTCCAAGATAGGAAGAGAAGAGAGTTTTGTATCAAGAAGTGCTCTGATTTAGAGTGTGGAGAAAAATAATCTGTTATTATTCTTGCTCTGTATAAGCAAGTAGCCATATTAGAAAAAAGCAACAGGATAAAGATTTAGCATATTCCAATTCTCTGACTCCGCCTTCTTTTTATTATAATATTAGGTCATATTTTTAATGTTCTGTTCACATTAGCCTAATGTAACCAAACAGCAGCCTGCGAAAAAAAAAGTTTGTGAGTGATATAAGCAATATTCATCTGTCTAACCCACAATCACAAAGAAAATGCCTGGAGCATCTATTTGACCTAAATAGTTGAAAACAATTTCATGCAAGACAGGAATTTTTATAAAGGGATGGTGAGTAAAGGAGAGTATTTTCAACATTTTGCAGCTAAATTGTCATTTATTATTTTTAAAAGATTATTTGAGAATCTGTTTAGTTTTTCTTGCTTTGCTTTACATACCAGTACTTAGATTTTTAATATTGCTGAATCGCAGGACAGAAGTCAGAAATGCAGATGTGTAACTTTTTTTTTATTAGAAATGATCTACCACGTGTTTATATAATTCAGTCATGTTTTGTTAAATTTCAGTATAAAATAAATGTAACATGGTTTTAGCAGACAAACTGACTATCAAGGAATTTTTTATTATTATACTGGCAACAAAAATAAAACCCACCATCATGTCATCATGACTGTAATAATACATTTTCATCCTTTTGCCGAAAATTTCAAATGAGGGAAGGAATTAACAAGATTTCATCTGTATCAATTTTTTTCAAAAGACAACTGGACTTTTTTTGTGTTTTTCCTTGAAGATCAGTTCAGTTCAGTTCAGTTTAACTGAACTTGAACTGAACTGAAGAAGCTTCTTGGATGAAAAGTGAAATGTCTTCCAGGAAAAACAAAGAAAGCCCAGTTGCCTTTTCAAAAAGCACCTTTGGGACAACCATGACCTGAATTATTGAAAATCTCCATAGACATTCTCCCATTGTATAACATGTCTCTTAGGACCAGCTTTCTTTAGCTGAGGTAACTTGTTATTTAAACATAATTCCAGAGCAAATGAATGAATTCACAACTTTGAATACAGCATTTGCCTGATTCGGTAGCATATGAATCAACTGGTGTAGTGAGACATTGGGCAGTTATCTTCTGTCTATCTAAGCTATCTTAGTATTTGTTCATTGCACTCTTCAACCATTTAACTCTAAGCAAAGCATAATTAAAAAGTTATCAAGATTATCAAATATACCAAATAATATTATCAACATATGTTCAATATCTTAATAATATTGCAATAAAAATCCTCACATAATAGCAAGGAACTGGCTTCATCCTAAAGATGGTACACCTTGAACAATCAACCAATGGAACAGCTTGCCTTCAGAAGTTGTGGGAGCTTCATCACTAGAAGCTTTCAAGAAGAGACTGGACTGCCATTTGGGTACTTGGGTAGTGGATTGCCATTTGGGTACTTGGGTAGTGGATTGGACTAGATCAGGGGTCCCCAACCACCGGTCCGCGGACCGGTACCAGTCCGCGGAACAAGTCCTACCGGGCCGCTGGTTGCTGGGTGCCGCCATCTTTTTTTGATGAAAAAGTGCTTCCGGTGAGCTTTTCCGGGTAGAAAGCTCACCGGAAGCACTTTTTCATCCAAAAAAGATGGCGGCGCCCAGCTGATGCCGGTACCGGGCCGCGGCGCCCAGCTGATGCCGGTACTGGGCCGCGGCATAAAAAAGGTTGGGGATCACTGTACTAGATGACCTACAAGGTCCCTTCCAACTCTGTTACTCTGTAATCTCTCATTCTCACATTGGTGTCTTCCTCCAATTTTAAAACCACACTCTTCTTCCAGTCCAGCTTTCCTCAATATATATTCTACATATAGGTTGAGTAAATAAGGGGAGACTATTTTATCTTACTCCTTTGCCAACCTGGAGTCAGTCTGTTTTACCATGTTCTATCTATACTGCTTCTTACTGTGTACAGGCTTTGCATGGGAATAATATGATGTTCTAGGATTTCCATTTTTCCAAGTGCCTTCCGCAGCTAGATATGATTGACACAATCAAAGACATTTCTATAATCAGCGAAGCCCATACTGACTTCTTTTTGATATTCTTTGATGTTCTCAATTATTCAGTGTGTCTCAGCAATATCTTGTGTTTTTTATTCTTTTTGAAAGCTACTTTAAACATTTTCTCTCCATGTAGGGTTCTAATCTGCATCAGATGATCCTAAGTATTTTGCTTGCATGTGAAATTAAAGATATTGTACAAGTAGTCCTTACTTAACAATGGTAATTGGGGCCAGAATTTCCATTGCTAAATGGTCATGAAGAGCAATATCACATGACTGCATTTCTTAGGAATGGCAATCTCACCAGGCCCTGTTGCTCTTGTTAAATGAGGATTGAAGGTCATTAATCAAGAACTTCTTTGCAACTTCCTGCCAGCTTCCAACAACCAAAGTCAGCAAGAAGTTGCAAGTCCCAGATTCCAGGTGAAGGAGAGGGGCATAGGTGGCTGCAGCAATATACACAAATTATTTCAGATCTAGGGATGGTTGCTGCCAGCAGGGGAGGGTACACAGGTAGCCAGCAAGGTGTGGTAGCAGGATAGCAGGGCTGGGGGAGGCTTATTGGAGCAACTTGTGACCTTCCCAATCAGCTTTCCCATTGACTTTGCTTGACGGAAGCTGGCAAGGTAAGATCCCAAATGGCAATCACCTGACCATGGGACATTGCAATGGTCATAAGTACAAACCAGTTAACAAGCGCCCATGATCATGATCCCATGACTGTAGGGATGGTGCAACAGCCAGAACTTTGAGGACCAGCTATAAGTATCATTTGTTCAGTCACTGAATGAGTGGGTTGCTTAATGAGG